AAAAGGCCTTACTAGAAAACAGATTTGCTGGCACCTTGATCTTGAACTGCTAGACTCCAGAACTGAGAGGGACTACATTTTGGTGTTGTAAGCTGCCCAGTCTGTTTTGTTAAGATAGCCTGAGCTGACTAATACAGCCACCCTTCCAGAGTAGAAGATACTCTTCACCAGGAATAAATGAGTAAAAGCAGTTTAACATTCAGGGGATCCAAACCTTAACTGTATCAAACACAGACTTAAAAGTCTAGTAATCAAAATATGTCTCAAGGTCTAGTAATCAAAATATGTCCAATGAAATGAAAACTCTATAGCCACTGACTGTACTAACAGTGGCCAACAGTAAAATTAAAACAAAGAGCAGTCTCTTTTTTCAACACAAAACATAAGGGATGTCTAAGAGCTAACACCAAAAGATGTTCTGGTTGCTCACACACTCCCAGAATAATATTGACTCAGTACAATGCTAATGACAAAAAATATGTATGAAAATACTGACATATGCATCAACATCGATGAATTTCCAAAAATTATGCTTATGAATGAAGGCTGACAAAAAAAAAAAAACAAAAAAAACCCCATACTCTTTGTTTACACTTTAAAGTTTAGACATAGTGAATGTAAAGTGATATGAGTAAGTAGAATGTTGCCTCTAAAGGGATGCATTGACGAGGTGGTGCCTGAGCGAATTTTCTCTTCTGTATGTATATGATATTGTCTATCTTGGCCAAGTGGTGACATAGGTATACACATATATAAAAATCAAATGCTATATTAAACACTGCACAGTGCATATGCTTTGCCCTGCGCATTTTATTCTTTAATGGCACCAAAGTACTTTATAAGAGATAAGCAGTCTATTTTTACCTTATCAGTTACATAGTGAAGGTTATTAGGCAAATGTAAAATTTTCTACTTAAAATTAAAACCAAGACCAAACAAATTATGCCTGTGGTTCTAATCTGTGTCACTGACCCCAAAATAAGCCAAATTGACAATATTCAATTAGCGCATTAGAAACAATAAGAACTAAAAAAAAAAAAAAAAGAAAGAAAAGGAACAGTACGAACTAAGAACGAAAAGCCAAAGAACATAGAAGCACGCCAGTCGGTCCATAGCTCCTAAGTTTGGTCCCTGAAACAAAGACTCCAGGTAGCACATGGCAATGAAAATAAAATCACTGCAGAAGTGTGTTTTACCATAACTACATCTGTTTAATAATTTTATTCATTTAACTATTTTTAGCACCAAGGCAGTATGGAAGATACAGCTTTTGAATCAGACAAACCAGTTTTGCCACTTACTATATGTATTGAGCAAGTTTCTTAATCTCTTTGATACTGAGTTTCTTTACAATTTAAAACAGAGACAATAACCCTTACTTTGCAAAATTGTAGCACAATTATAAGTAGGTTCTTAAGAGTGGTAGCTATTTAGCAACAGTTCTTTGTATGCAAAGTATCATGCTATGTACTGGAAACTTATCTCTAAGAACCTGACCAACTAGAAGTGACATTTAGATATAAAGATTGGTGATGAAAGCTAAGAAGTTAACATGGGCTATAGATTAGGGTTCCTACACAGCTAGTATGATGATGAAGGGAGTCAGCTCTGACAGTGTTGGCAAGTTTTTGGAAAATTCACAGAAGTCCAAAGCAGAGCAGACTTGAGATTCTGATGAGAAGCTAAAACCAACAAAGCCACTGGACTGGTTCTGAAGAGCAAGACAAGGCCAGCAGGGTCTACATAGAGAAGAATCACCTTTTTCAAGGACTGGGGTATCACTGAGGACTGCTGGCCCCACTGGTCAGTATATGACAGGAAAAGGTGGAAACCTCATTACAAGGAGAAATAGCATAGGATGTCAAGGGCTTGAATTCAAGATGCTGACAGAGTTAGATGTCAGCGTTCAGTCTTTATTAATTCTCAAATTTATATGTATGATATTACAGTAATATTATATATATATATCAGATAATTGAGTATCCCTAAATGACTGAAAAAGTCCTTCATTCAAGCTTTGAAATGATCCTCATCAGTCCCTAAGTTTCTCAAGAGCAAAACACATTGCCTGGCACAGAAAATGCTCAATACTTATTAATATCTGAATCTTTTAAAATATTACAAGTATTGAAAACTCCACCAACAATAAAACATTTGAAGTGAAATGTGTATAAAAGGTAAACTCATTTCTCCTTACTGCTGAGTGGCCATTTCTCACAATATATGCCAAGTTCTGAATTTGCTCAATTCAATATTTAAAAAAGATTTCATTTGCAAAAGCTATCTCTATCTCTACCAAAAGACTCAGATATAAATTGCCCTAGAAAGCTGGGAATGTTGCCACACAGTTGCTAAGCTCTTGCGAAATATTTTTTTTTTAGGAATCTCTCACTCATCATTATGTCTTTTGCTACGGCAAAAGAACAGCCACTGTATGACTCGAGAATATTACATGAAAAAATTTAACTCAAATCCAGACTGCATAAAAATGTGAGGTACCCAAGAGTAAAAGATAATTTTACAAATGAATTTATACCATTATTTAAAAGTTAAAATAAAAAAAATAAAAAAATAAAAAATAAATAAAAGTTAAAATAACCTACCACATTAATAAAAAAATGAATACTTCCTAGGCGCTAGGCACATTTCTTAGCTTTTTCTATATTAACTCATTTAATCCTCTCAATAACATTCTATGGTAACTCATTACCTACATTTTACATTAAATGGTTGTTGAAAAAGTCATGACATACATTTTCTTTGAAAGACAAATGTGTCATGACATTTCTGCAACCCAATAGGTGAAAACACCAAAATATACAGAAAAGCTGGTCGCTGTTAGAGACTACTGTACCAGGAAGGAAGAGGTAGAACTAGGAATTGAACCCCGACAGCCAGTTCCACAATCAGAATTCCAGTTGATAAATCAATGTAGAAAAGAATAAAGGAAATGGAAAAAAAAATATCCTCAATCTGGTGAAAGACCTCTTTTCAAAAACTTTAAAAAATTTTTGAATATACAAAAATGAATTGTATTTCTATACACTACAAGATATTTGGAAAATAAAATTGAATAAAAGATATTTTCAATAGTGCTCAAAAAATAAAATGCCTAGAAATAAGTGTAATAATGTGAGTTCTTTAATATATCAAAACACAAAACAAGACAGAATAACTGAAGAAAGTATTCAGTGAAGGGATACATCATGTTTACAGATGGGAAGATTGTCCAGTCTCCAAACGTCGTTCTGGAGAATCATACCACAGATAAGCTTATTCTAAAATTTATATGGAAATGTAAAGTACTTAAATAGTCCAAACTATTCTTCATAAGTGAAGGGTTCACTCCACTGTATGTCATGTACTTACAATACAGTAAATACTGTATTAATAGAGAAACTGATAAACAGTTCAAGTGGAAAAGGACAGAGTCCAGAAAGAGATCCAAATATATGATCATTTTCAATAGAGGCCACTGAAATTCCATAGCAAAAGAAAAGTCTTTTCAATAAATGTGTAGTGTAGTGCAATTGGCTGCCCACATGGAAAATAAATCTAGATCCTTCACTTCAAACCACACAAAAATCAACTGAAGATAAATCAAAGACCCAACTGTGAAGACTAAAACTATAAAATATCTGGGGGAAACCATAGGCAAATGTTTGTAGTCTTTGAGAGTGGACAAAAATGACGGTGAGGGAAAATTCTGTGGGCACGGTACAAAAAAGCACTTATTTGACCCCACCAGTTTCCACCTCCTCTCAAAAACAAACAAAAAAACTGGCTGTACTGGACTTCGTGAAAATAAATCTGCTCATCTAAAGGCACCGTTAAAGAAAATAGGCAAATTTCAGACAAGTAAAAAATAATTGCATACGCATACTTTAGACATTCTATGTGGAATATATAAGAAACTAAATGCCACTAAAAAAAAGGGTACAAAAATTTTAAAAAGTGGGCACAAAAATTTGAAGAGACTTGTCAAAAAGAAACCTGAATGCCCAATAATAGAAAAATATGTTCACCATTAACATTCATTGAAATAACCAACTTACCCCAAACCATTAATTCATTTCCTTGGTATTATAACCAAGAAGATATGAGGCTATATCCACCAACGGCAGCTTTAAGAACATTTCCAGTGATTTTATTTCTAATAGCTAAAAACTGAAAACAGTTTCAAAGTCATAAATAAGAAAATGGGAAAAAAAATGTAGTATACCCATATAATGCAATACTTTAGGAGACATCACTTAACATTTTCTGTAAAGGACCAATTAGTAAATAGTTCACGCTTTGCACATCATATGATGTCTGTTACCACAATACATTTTGCAGAATGGACACAGCTAGATTCAGTGATATTTTATATATGCAATGCGCTGTGGGATGGAATTAATCCACAGGTCATAGTTTTCCATCCCTTGCTCTAAGTCAAAAATATCCAAATAAAGCCTGCTTATACATGGAACATAAACAAGTTTCAAAAATATCCTATAGACAAAAGAAAAATAAAGTAATAAAGTACAAAAAAGAATTAAACAAACACACTTATTTGAAGTTCAGTAACACTTGAAAATGATCTTTGCTGATAGAAATCAGGAGAGTAGTTGATGGGGACACAGGATAGGCTTCACTGAGAGGGCTGACTAGGAGGATATTTTTGCGGGGTAAAAATATCAAATATTTCTGGTGATCACTCACACACGTACACATGTATAAATTTTATCAAGCTATATATGTTTTTTATTTTATGTAACTTATAGCTCAATTTGGAGAAAAAAAGTAGACAAAGATTAGAAAACAGTCTTAAGAAATCATATAGAATTCAACATGGACAAAAACCAAGTAAAACAAAAGATTAAAAGTCATACTTAATAAAGGAGCAGGTCTAAAAGAATTCTAGCCAGAGTTCTTAAAAACTGAACACATGAAGAAAAAAAAAAAAAACACCGAAAGAGATACAGGATGAAACTTTCAAGAATTGATAAATGACAAACCTTTTAGACAGGAAACACTAAATCCAGGATAAAGGAAATGTCCACTGTTGTAAAGCTGTAGAACACAAGAGAAAAAAAGAAGATCTTAAAAGTGGGCCAAAAAAAATATATTACCAACAAATAAGTTATTTGAAGTAATTATAAAAGTAAAAGCCAATGGAATAACTCTGAGCAAAAAAGCTGTCAACCTGGAATTACATATTAAAACAAAAACATTATTTAAGAATGAAATAGACATTTTTAGATATAGTATGACACTAATGATCCCTTAATTAAGAAACTTATATTTTTATCTGAGGAAGAAAAAAAAGACCTGAGATGCAAGAAGAAATGATCAGGAAAGGATGCATTAAAAGGAAAAATTACAATGCCATATTAATAAGAGGAAAAAAATTAATTAAATGGACCTCATTTCTGTATAACAAGCATGTAAGCCAGGAGGATAATGGTATGAACGTAACCTTGAATTATTTCAGAAAAAAATAGAAGAAACTTTTTATTAAGTTTGTACATTAAAAATTTTAAGAAAACATATAATGTTCTCACTAGTCATGAGGAAAAAAAATTGGGGAAAACAAAAAACCAAGAGGTGGCAAACAAAAAAAATCAAGGTTAAGAACAAATAAAAAAAAAGCTAACTTTGATCCTAAATTAAATCTGCAAGTATATTAAACTTAATTGGGCTGGGCTCCAGCTAAAGGGCAAAGATTGACAGTATGGATTAGAAAAAAAAATTAGCATTTGCTTAGAATATCTCTTTCAAATAGGCAAAACCTAACTACTAAAAGAGTATAGTATAATAAAAATGGACTTTAAGTTAAGAGGCATTTGCAGGAGAGGCAAAGCATATCACTATAACATGACAAAGGGGCCAATTCACAGAAATTTCATATATACTTTAAACTTTTAAAACAAAGTTGACACAATTATAAGAAATTGAGAAAAATTCATTTTACTATATGTTATTACACCTACCTCAGTAATTGATAGGTGCTACAAAGCTTAGGCTTAATCTGATACATCTACATATAGATACACTTACACATACACATAACCACACACACACACACCTACACACACACACACACACACCTACACACACACACACACACACCTACATTGCCCCCAAATCTGTGAATACATATTCTTCTCAGTCATTCAAGGAATAGCTGAAAAACCATGAGGCTACAAAGCAATTCTCAGATTTCAAAGAATCGGTGACATAAAGCCCTCATTTGCTGACTACAGTGTGAGTTAGAAATCAATAACAAAAGGATAACTCACAAAACCTATCTTTGGATGGGGGGGCAGTGGGGGTGAGGGGGGGAATTCTAAAAAATCTCATAGGGAAGGAAAAAATATCATGGAAAAGTTTTAGTTCTTTTAGAACTGAAAACTACACTACATACAAAGCAACAGTAAACAAAAAATCTGTAGTACTACAGAGAGAGAGAAATGATCTGAGCAAAGATCCCAGAAATGAGCCCAAGCACATCTGAGAATACATGTGACAGACGTGGCACCGGGATAATGACCTCTCCACATGGGAAAAGGAAAATGCATTAGCATAGACATGTATGCATTTACATACATATGTCATAAATAAAATATATATACATGCATGTCCGTTAAAAAAGCCACATGCATAAACAATAACTTCAAGGGGAAAAATTTCAAAAACATATTTCCTTAAGGATAGAGAGGATCATCTCCAGACACAAAAACACTGAGGAAAGATCATCTATAGTTTATATAAGCAACAAAGGATTTGTATCTTGAACACTGTTTATCCAATAGAAAAAATACCCACAATGATGAGAATGTTCTGCTATATAACATAGTGTCACATAAAACAACATAACATCATTGAATACAATAGCCACTAGTCACACGTGGCCACCGAGCACATAAAATGTTGACCAAGAGTGATGAAGGAACTGAAATTGTAATAATGACAATATGTTAGCATTTTAAAACCCTTGATAAAGAGGCAGGAGATCACTCTATTTTTATATGCATTTCTTCATTTTTTCATAAAAGAATTTGATTTTAGTTTAAATCACTACATAAAATTTAATCACAAGTTTGTAAAAAAAAAAAAAAGTGTAGAAGTCACTTTTAGAAACCAAACTCCAAAGTGCTCCTAGTATTATCTGTGAGTTTTAATCTTTTAATGTGTTTAAAAAACAGATTATCTGAGATACCAAAGTATAGAAAGAGTTTAATGAACACTGGTGTATCCATCCTAGAATTTATAAAACATTCTGATATTGTTTAAATTCCCGGGGGGACCTCTCTTGATCAGGACTTTTTCCTAAAGAGCAGCTGGAAAATATGAATAATAGACTAGAGCTTTGGCTTAGGGTTTCATTATTTTTCAATACCCATATCTCACTACATATTTGGGGAACATGTAACCTACAAATCTATGTATCATTTTGCAAGAGTAATCAAACAAACTTCCTTAGCCCACATCTGGAGATAAAGCATTTACAGCATCTCAAAAATCATCAGCAAGCCCCTTCACAGCCCCACCTTCCTCCCCTAGGAGGTGACCACTAGCTTGACTTTTATGGCATTTTTTCTTTACTACTTTTAATGATTGTATGCATCCCTAGAGAAAAGCTTTATTTCACCAGGTCCTGAATTTCACACAGATGATATCATAGAACTCTTCGGCAACTTGCCTTTTTGGGGCACGGGGGTGGGGAGGGGCTCAATATTATTAAGACCTATTTGTGTTAAAACAGAACTACTTTCTCCAACGCTCTACAGGGTGGGTTGTATTTTATGACTAGATAATAATTTACCTTTCTCCTTCAGATGGACACCCGAAGGCTGCCTCCAGCTTAGGGAATTACAAATAACACTGCTGTAAAGCTTGTATACGTCTGCTTGTGTGTGTGTGTGTGTGTGTATATATATATATATATATGTGTGAAAATATATCTAGGGCAGTGGCTTTCAAACTTTTTTGACTATGACTCATACTAAAAAGAATGACGTTTTCCATCATGACACACATCTCTGTGTGTATAAAACAGAAAAAAAAAGTTTCATGAAGCAAATACCTTATGATCTGATACACACTCTGCTATTTTCTATTCGGTTGCTTCATGATTTACAAGTTCTGATCATTAGCTACCCTAGGTGGTGTCACAACCCAGTAAAATGGACTTCAAACTTTGAAAAACAGCTCTAGAGACTAAAATATCTAGGAATGGAACACAGACATCAAATAGCATTTTTTCTAGATAATTATCTGTTAAATAAGCGTTTTACCTACGTGCATATAATTTGCCACTCTATATATACTTCTAGAGCTAAAACTGAAACATCAGATCATTTTATCTTTTCCTTCCTTCACTAAGCAGTATTAATCACATACCAAGCGTTAAGTAAGTATCCACTGGACCCCCAGCGAGACTGATGGGTTAATACGAGGTTGGGGGTAGCATAAGGGATCACGACCTCCATGAGGCCCCTGAAAACTCACGGGGCTCGATGGGGCTCCGATCCTGCCCGGGGAGAGACGGTTAGGAAAGGATTCCTGGAAGAAGAAGCTATGCTGAGTATTTCTATTTTTAATTTTCATTGGTTTCCTAAAACATAAAAGTCACATCTGTTAAAAAAAAATAGTAATAAAAGTCTATATTACAGGAGCATATACACGAAGCAGCAAAAATTCCCAGCACCGATCTTCAAGTTTGATGCTGAGACTAAATAACCGGAGTTGCACTATCAATTATCCTAATCTAGGAAATTTCAGCAGCCAACATCATAAAAGAGTTTTCCGAGTCTATCCGACAGAGCCCATAAAGTGTAAAACCAATCCCGTTTTCTGTAACGATGCAAATGCAAACATTTCGTGGTTAGTCATAATACGACTTTTAAGACTTTGTGTGTGTGTGTGGCCTTTGGAGTGCCCGCTTTCAGAAATCGAGTCCTTTTACTGCATATCAAATACACGCGAACGCTCCCGAAAGGAGCATCCAAACCCGCCAGCCGAGAGGAATCCGGTGCAAGCCGCCGGGCTTGCCGGGTGACAATTTGCCGGAGTTTCACACTTGGTCCCGGAGCCCGAGCCGGAGCCGTCACGTACTCGGCGCGTCGGTCGGCACCGGCACACCCTCCGCAGCGCGGCACGGAGCCCGGGACGGTC